ATAAAAAATAAAGTAATCTTATTCTATTTTATTAGTGGTACATCTCCTCTATACGTAGTAAAAACAATATTTGATGATGCTCCAACTGAAAAAGAAGTTATTGGTGCTATATCATTAATCGTATGGAGTTTGATTGTTGTAGTATCTTTAAAATATGCTATATTTATATTAATGGCAGATAATCGTGGTGAAGGTGGTCCATTTGCTTTATGTAGTTTATTGACAGGTCCAATAAGTAATCTTCGTTATCGCACAAAACAATTTGTTAGTGTTATATCAATTATTGCTGCTTGTTTATTGATAGGCGATGGTGCTCTTACACCAGCCGTATCAATTCTATCAGCATTTGAAGGTTTAGTTGTTGCTAAACCATCACTTGCACCATGGACAGTACGAATATCTGTAATCATTATAATAATTTTATTTCTATTTCAAAGATGGGGTTCATCACGTCTCGGAATTTTTTTTGGACCAATTATGATTTTATGGTTTATTTTATTAGCAACAATTGGTATATGGCGTATAACATATAAACCTTCAATATTAAGAGCATTTAATCCATGGGAAGCATTACATTATTTAATTCGAGAAGACAAGACAGGTTTCTATCAAATTGGTTCAATATTCTTATCAGTTACTGGTTTAGAAGCAATGTATGCTGATTTAGGACATTTTGGACGATGGCCTGTGAGATTTTCATGGTTTGCTGTGGTTTTTCCAGCTGTTTTACTTAATTATTTAGGACAAGGAGCAGTCATTATTTTAAATCCAGCATTTATTGATAATCCGTGAGTTTAAGAAAAATTAGTTATATGAGAGATAAAAGAGATTTTTATAAAAATATTATTTTTAGTTTTTATCATGCAGTACCACATTGGGCATTATGGCCTGTTCTTGTCTTTTCAGTTATAGCAGCAACAATAGCTTCGCAAGCAATTATTACTGGTTCATTTTCATTAGTTTCTCAAGCTATTGCAATAGGATTTTGTGTACCATTTCCTGTAATTCATACATCTCGTTCAATAATTAGTCATATTTATGTTCCAGCTATTAATTATTTTCTTTTAGCATTAACTCTTGCTGTAACAATTGGATTTCAAACAAGTGATAACATAACCGATGCGTATGGTGTAACAGTATGTAGTGTTATGGTTTTAACAACAATTCTTTATATGATGGTAATGCGTTATACTTGGTTGAAACCAATTTGGCTTGTTGTATTATTTGGAATATTTTTAATCATTGATTTATATACATTTGCAGCAATATGTACTACTAAAATTCCTTCAGGTGGTTGGGTTGCTATTATTATTGCATGTGGTATTTTTATAGTTTCATTTAGTTGGTATTATGGAAATATTCGTCTTCAATATTATCTATCTCAACATTGCAAAACAAATTTAATAGAAAATTTACCAGCTCGGTTTGGTGGTCTTCAAGATTCTTATCATGCAGCAAATAATATTGATAATGAAACAGAATTCAATGAAAGTCCAGACGACGATGATGATGATGATGATGATGATGAAGAAGATCAAAGAAAAAGCAAACGATTAAATAATAATTCAAAAACAATTTCAGTTTCTACTATAGAGAATCAGTCTAGTGTGGTATCAATAGAAAATATCGAAGAAAATCGTTTAATCGAACCTGATGTAACAATAACTCCAGGTGTTGGTTGTTTTTTAACAACATCAAAAAAATATACGCCATATGTGTTCGAAAATTTTCTTTGTCGAATGCATGCTCATCAAGAAATATTAGTATTTCTTAAACTTGATTGTGCACGAATGCCAAGTGTTGATGATGATCAACGATTGATTATTCGAGCTTATGGAAAAAATATTTATCATATTTCAGCTATATTTGGTTATACAGAAACAAATATTAATCTTTTTAATATACTTCATTTAGCAAGACAATATTATGATGTTCCTATATCAGCTAATGAATCATCAATGACATTTTATCTTCCTGATGAAACTATACATGTTAATACACACGGATGGAAAACTTGGTTAAGACGATGGCCTTTATATGCTTATTCGATTTTAAAAACTTTATATCCCGGTATGCCATTAAATTTTAAAGCAATGCCACAAAATACAATTAAAGTTGGAACACTTGCTGATTTGTAATATTTTATTTTAATACTTTTATAATATATCAAGCTTCATTTTGTATTCTATTGTTTACATTTTTTAATCAATATATATTTTAAAATAAATTTTCGTTGTACAAATATAAAATTTATTTATTATCATAATAAGGGTCAAAAAAACATATTTTATTTCTATAATTTAACTAAAGATTATCTTCAATATAGATTTGTCCATATCAATTATAAATCTATTGTTGTAATTGTATTCAATTCACTCACGTTCAACGTATTTCCCAGTGGCGGATTTAGGGGGAGGGGGGGCGATGGGGACGATTGGCCCCCCTTCCAATTTTTTTTTGATTTTTTACAGCAAAAATGAACGAAAAAATAGGTTCACACTGCTTCAGTTGGACTTAAAAAATAGCTTTTAACCAAAATCGCCCCCACCCCCCCCCGACAACGCCCCTCCGTATTAAAAAAAAAATCCCCCACCCCCACCCCAGATATCGCTCCTCCATACTCAAAAACAAAAAATCCCCTACCCCCTCCCCAGGTATTGCCCCTCCATACTAAAAAAACAAAAATCGCCCCCCGTTCCAAAATCCTAGATCCGCCACTGGTATTTCCCTAATGAACACTGAAATTCTATTAGGATCATATAGTTTATAAACATCATAGACTAAAATGCTATCCGAATGGTACTAGTACAGTATAGAAACAGCGTAACTTACCGTTATGTTATCAAATAAATGAGTTCTGTAAGAAAACTTTGTTTTATCAACTATAAGCAACCAAAGAGTATAACTGTGATCCAAAAAAGAAATGAATCATACTGGTCTCTATTTTGCATCTTAAAATGAATTCCTATCATTAGAAATAATTAAATGACACCTTTGGAAATCTAATCTGTATAATAGTAAGGTTATAAAAGAAAAACAAATAAATCTAAAAATGTTATATTCAATATTTACTATGAAAAAAAAAAGAATTATTTATCTTTATGTCTCTGTTGCCATGTTTTATCTACATAAGCATCAATATGTTCTTGAGATGGTAATTTACTCAATGTTTTTAAAAGATTTGTTAAATAATCAACTTTAATTTCTTGTTTTTCAAGCATTTTTTCGGTAGTTGATTTTTCTTGTTCAATAATTGTTTGAGCTTCTTGAATTTTTCTAATAATTATTCGATTTTTAAGTGTAATAGAATGAACAACAGCATGAATAGCTCGAACTATTTTCCATAAACGTAATACAACAATAGCTGCAGCTGCACGTCCGGCTCTTCCAATATTTCCATAATGAAAATATATTTCCATTACAAATGATGTAAATACAATAATACTATCCAATAAATATAACACATTTTTATAATGTTGAAAACCAAATGTAAAAAATGATAGGAAGATTTCAAGTACAAATATTATTAATAATACGACGGAAAAATAGAAAAGAAATAATTCAGCACGACTTAAAGCCACGGAATATGGAAGTAAACATGTATCTCGTTGTAAAGTTGTATTATATTCTATCAATTCTTGATCCGTTAAACATGGTGATGATAATTGAGCTAAATTAAATTAACAAAAATTTATTTTATATATCTTAGAAGATTTTAATGAATGATATAGTAATTAAAAATTCTTTTTTCTCTCATCATAATTTCAGTTTTGATCGATCTTATTAAATTTGTTGAATATTAGTAATAAATCGTAGTAGTTACTTTTTTAACGCGAAAAATGTCCTTAAACCCATTTCAGTCTATTGAAGTAAATGATGTTTTTTTATTTTTCTCATTATTTATCGTTTTTGAAGTATCCTCCAGAAATACTTGGAAAAGATCCATCTAATTTTCTTATTATTACATAATAAATTAACATACCAAGAACTAAATCAACAAGTACGACAATAAGATCAATAACAACTAAAACAATAATAGAATAATGAAATTTTGGTAATACAAGATAATGTGCTAATTGTCGTCGAGCTATTTGAATCCAGCTATGTGAATCATTTATTGATTCTTCGTCGGAATTTTTTAATTCTGATTCAAGTGAAAATTTTTGAAGTTCTTCAATAATACTGCTTAATTTAATATCTCCTTGTGAATGTCGTGGTAGTTTTAATTGATTATTTTCTTTAACAACTTTCCATTTACTTTGTTTTATATTGGATGAAAATGATTTAACATTTATATCATCATTATTAACTTCTTCAACATTTCCAGGTAAACTTATTTCTTGTAATGGTTTTATAACAATTTTATCCATTATTTTATTTCAAATATTCTTCATTCAATTACATGAACATTTCAATCAAACTAAAAACAAAAAGAAGAAAAACAATTTTTATTTGATGAATAAAAAAACATGACTAAAGAAATATCTTAAAAGTCTTATGATGATCTAGAAGTTTAATAGATATGATTTTTATCTACTTGTTTTTCTTCTATGAATCATTTTAATGAGTTGGATAAAAAAACGTAGTTCGAGGTAAACAAACGTTTTAAAGACTTCTAAGAACAGTTTGATTAAATCATTTGTTTGGATTTACATATATTCAACACCTGCGCAAGCGAGGGGATGTACACCTCCCCAGTCTCAGATCTTTCGCGCGACCACTACATATATTTCAGCATTTTTAAATAAAAACTAATTCCTCTAATCAATCTATTGACTTAAAATATATGTTAGAAGTATTTTTGAGTACAAGAGTACCTTACAAATTTTTCTTTACTTGATTAAAAAAATTCTCTCACGTGTTGTTGAATCTTTTGACTAACGAGAAAATTTTCCATAGAATGTTCGATAGACTGAACGAGTATGTTAATTAATACCTGCCAAATGTTGATGTATTGAACTAATTCTTAGGATGTATTCGATCAAAAAACTTGTGACATACAGATAGTAGAGTACTCTTTCCGATATTATGATTAGAATTGATTGAATACATCTACTCAAATTTTATCCAAGAAATATTGACTTATGATTATGATCATCTTAGTCAATATTTATTTAATATTATGAAATTTATTTCAATAGAATAATAATATTTACGATAATCAGATTAATTTCTTTTTTTAATATATATTAATTTAATTTGTGACTACTCAAATTTCCTTTATGTTTTGTTTATAGAACAAATAACTCAAATATTTATAGAATAGAATCACTTTTTTCAATTCAAATCAATACAATACATTTACATTTTTGTTCATTTCTACTCATCGAAATTTCAATATGAACAAAAAAAATGTTATTATTATTATTATTCTAATTTCAATATAAAAACATTAATAGTTTTTTTTTCTTAGAGAATTATTCAATTAACATATTTAAGATAAAAGAAAAATTTGATTTCGAAATCTTATTTATTAAAAATTTGAAAATAAGAAGTATTAACTTACATAAGTAGATAAAACTGCTAGTCGATTTCATATGTTGTTAATGATATATATTTATATATATATTGTAGGATGTTCTTTACTAAGAAATAGAAAGAGATTCATCGTTCTTAGTCTATTTTTAGCGGAATCAAAGCGCGAAAGAAAAAAAAGAGGAAGGAAAATTAATATCCGAATAAAATAAGATAGAGAACGATAAATTGTTTCAGTTCTGATTTTTACTATCCCATCAAGTCTAGATTAATAAACTAAATTAATAAGTATGCATTAATCTGTCATGTCGAATTATTTCAAATAGATTCAACTGAATGATTAAGTTATTAGGAATTCTCTAACCATATTTACATAAACTACAATAGAAAACATATTTTAATTTGCAAAATATTACAATAATAAATTAATATGTTATAATAATTAATATCGAACAAATTTTTATTTAATATGAATTTTATTTTACTTTTTCACACAATAATCAATGAAATAAACGGCATAAACAAAATCCTATGGATTTAATGGATTCTTTATTTTCTATAATGAAATATTTTTGCTTAGAGATTTTTAATGATAATAATATTAAATTATAAAATATGTTAATTCAAATTTTTTTTTCTTTCTAAAACTGAATTAGATTTTGAATCTTTCCACTATTCTAATTAAATATTAAAATTATTTGTTTTTTAGGAGTTTTCTTAGATAATATTTATCTAATGTTAAATTGAATTTATTTTTATCGATAAAACTATCCGAAATTTTGTTATTTGGAAGAAATATTTTTTTCTAATTGAAAAAAATGTAGATATAAGAAGAGACATTAATAAACTTACCAGTAGATGACACATTCATTTGTTTCAATGTTTGATTGACAACGTTTTCTCTCTCTTTTTTTTCTTCTTATGTTTTCAATTGTTTTGTGTAAGAATAGTCCACTTGAAAAGAAGAATATGTCAGGTTTTTCACTAGTTTTTTTTTTCTTTTTCTATGTTAATATTTGACGTGGAAAAAAACACATAGTTTTTCCTCACGTAACAAATAGAATATTATTTTAAAAATGCCATATGGAATATATCGCTTTCTTTTGAAAAATTTTAAAATAATTATATATAATAAACTTCATAGAACGTCACAAATAAATAATAGGTTATTTTCAAAGAAAAACAGAATCTAATTTTTAAGAGAAAATACAAAATTCTACTTAAATATCAACAATTCTATAAATTAAATCGATTAATAATCTTATTTTTGCTAAACATATGAAATATTGCTTGAAGCAATTTTTATCTTTTCTAAGAATACTATTAAAGTATTTTGCAGGAAATTAAACCAATTGAAAGATCATCGATATTTCTCACACGACTTGATCTAAAAAAAAATTTTTTTCTCAAATAATATTCTAATTTATATAAATGATGAAGAAATCTCATTAATAATTAGTCGAATACTTTACTCTTTGAACTTATTCTATCAATGTTCTCTATCTACTCTATAAACAATTATTTATCATTATAAGAATAATAATCTTAGAAATTAATTTCGTTTAACTGATTATTTATTAATTTAATTGAATATGAGTGTAATCAATTTGTTTTTCATGAGTCATATTTGTTTTTAAGTACCATAGTAATGAGAAAACAAATGTCTTTTACTATTTCTAACATTTATTTCATATATTAGAATATTTAAACTTTGTTTTCATTATATAATCTTAATGATACATTCATAAAATATAATAAAGATAACATTTCAATAAAGAAAATAATCTACTGACTTTTTTCCTTATCGAAATTATTGTAAATTCCAACCAGGGAAATATTTTTATAATCATTCTTCACAAGAAAAAAAAAGTGCAGAGATTCAAAAGAAATTTCATATCAATTAAAATTCACTACTAACTGCTAATCAATATCAATTTAACATATGTAAATAGAAAATGTCGGTCGACATTAAAAACATCTTAGAATAATTAAAATATGAATTTATACAATGTTGAATGGGAAATTTGTATTTTTCTTCGTTTCTAGTTATGCAAATGTGAAAATATTCTTTGAATACTCCCATTGTTGATATCATTGATATGATGTACGTGAAAAAATGAAGAAGAAAAAACAATATCAGTGATATTCAATCTCCATTCTTTTTTTGTTAGTTTTGTGTTTAGATAAGAATCTAAATGTCTGATAATATCAACGAACAAAATCCCATGATGAATCTAATCAATGATACTGATGAACAACGTTTGTTATTTTGATTTAATTTAAATAAAAAATGAATTTTTTATTCTATTAAATAGATCATAAACATTATGTTGTTAAAAAAATCGAATCGAATATTAATGAACAAGAAAAAGAAATTATTGGTTATGATTGTATTTATCAATATGAAAATTATCAAATCAAACTTGAATATCGTTTATTAAATGGATATTGGAAAATAATTTCTGATCAATTAAATACAAAACAAGAAGAAGAATTAAATAATTTATTAAATAATCTTAATCTCAACGAATATCATCTTTTTCCTCAACAAATCGATATTATTATTCAAAAATTTGATCAATATTTTTCGGGTGAATTTATTATTTATTAGAAGAAAAAAATATTTTATTTCGTTTCTTTTAGAATTAAAAGAAAAAGAAAATGAAATAATAATCAGTTCATTATTAGAAGAAGATGATGATGAAATAAAAAAATTGAATTTTCCATCAATCGAATTATTATATAATAATAATATTCCAACACCATCGCCTATTTTAGAAGTTGATGAGGAACAATTAGATTTACCAACACAATCATTATCAGCACATTTTCAACGAAAAATTATTAATTTAACACCAACTACAATATCAAATCGTATTCGACTAGATAGTGCTTGTAGTTCAACTAATAGTATTAAATATGCTGAGTAAGTTTACCTTTTAGATTAAATATTTTACAATAAAATTTTATTTCTAAAGATTTGTTCCTCCGACTATGACGTCAATTCAACGACGACGTATTATTCAATCAATTATTTTAGGTGTACAACGAAAGTAAATAGAATATGTTTTATTTTCATTTTTTCTAATTTGATTTTTTTTGATTTAAATAGAAAAAAAATATTTGAAAAAGTTCTTAATACATTAAAACATATTCCATCCGAACCAACAATGTATGAATTAGGTTTAGAATTTTTACGTGTCTATGATGGAAAATTTAATTATTTACCAGGACATACAGTAAATATTTCTTTTTTTACAATTTTATTCATAGAAATTATTCAATAATCCTTTATTTTATTTTTAGTTTATTATGCCATTTAAAGAACGAACTTGGTTTTTAACAATTCTTAATATTAAATGTAATTATTTTCTTATTTATGAACAAAAAAAGTAATATTTTATAACATATTATTTGTTTAGGTATGGAAATTGAATTTGGAGAAAGTGAACCACGATCTGTTTTAATACTTCAATATAATAATGAATCTACAACTGTACAACTTTGATTCATTAAATATCGATTTAATTGAACCTTTCTTTTTTTGCTTTTGCATGAATAATTAATAAATCTAATAGTACATATTTTTGTTTTTTTTTCTATATTGTTTATGAAGACAGTATGATAGTTTTAAAGATTTCTATTTCAATCATTAAATAAAACAATAGTTACACAAATAAATAATTGTGATGAGTAGAGAATAATAAAATCAATGATTAATTATCACCTCAAACACGAATTCTTGATAGATATTTTACTACAATGTTCAAAGATATAGTAGAAGAGTAGCCTATATTATATAATATATATGTCAAGAAATATGATATTAAGAAGATAAAATTATTTTTCTGGCAGATTAAATTCATCTTTGAAATATTACTAAATTTTTAGAGAAATCGATCAAAACGGATCAACTTGTGGAAGACTCTGATGAGAGATAAGAAAAAAAGTATTTAAAAAAGAACACGATTTAACTTCTATGATTTTTGTTATCACTTCCTATCTTTCACTTTCCTTTTCTTTGCGTTGTGTTTTCTGATGTCAAATGGAAAAAGTTTGTACCTTTATTATTCTCGGTTTTTTTCCATTATTAAAAATTGCTTTTGTATTACGTTGAGTTGCGTATTTTTCTGATCGTCGTACCGAAATCATACATAACGTCTCAGGTGATTTCAAATACTGCATTTGATGAGAGTTTAACTAGAGTATTGAAAACTGTCGATCGAAAGTTTTCGATAAAAAAACCATACTTGGAACTTTATACGTATGGTTTTTTTTGAGTTGATCCTTCTGCATTAATCGTGGCATTTGAATGAGAATTTCAATGTTTAAACGAATAATATCGATATAAGTCGAATTAGACTGTGACGTATGACTGGAAATTAATCCTACCTTCATCCACACACATTCATACTTATTCTCAACGGAAAGAATTATTTTATTTTGTCTAGAAAATTAAGAAGATTCGAAAAAAAAGATGTTTTTTGAATATATAATTAGAATGAGACTCAATAGATTTTCTCCGTGATTACACAGTATAAGTGATAAGAATAAAAATATAGATGAGAATTAATTAGTAGTTATACAAGAAGAATTAATCTTGTCTCAATACTGTATGACCTGAAATACAAATAAATATGTTTTTTTTATAGACACAGAATTTAATAAATATCAAAAACAGGTTCGAGAAAAGTATATCAGTAGTAATATCATTTATATGAATTAAAGTAAGTGGTAAGGGAACAACATGGAATTTTTTATTAAGCAGATATAATTAATGTTAATTTCATCAAAATTTATCAAACTATTAATGATATATATCATTTCTACTAGAAACATAGAGACGCGAAAAAAGTTAGATTTTATTGATTATGAAACCTATCACTTAACATAAATTCTATAGATCATATGAACCTATAAAAAAACTTTTGTTTTTGGACGATGTGTATAGTAATCAGAAAGTTTTTAAAAAAATGGATAGCATACTTTGAAAAGGAATTTCTTTTACAAAAATAGTATTCAGTTTTTTGACTATGGCATGCGAGGATCTATAATACTGTTACCCCTTGCATGTCAATAACAATCATTATCTGATTATAACCCTTTAATATTTATTTTTTAAACAAAAGCATTTAAGTTTTTCATCATAAAGGATTATAGTTTTGATTTAAGCTCTATAGAAAGAGACTAGTAGTTCATTATATAAGAAGTTGAAGAAACAGATCATTAATTCTTTTTTCGTATTAGTCCGAGAAAGTACAAGTGCAATTCATATTATTATAGAATATTCAACGAACGTTCTTTTAACCTTTATTTAGTTTTTGTGTACTAATGAGTGCGTTCGTTCTTTGTTTGATAATGTTTAATTATTATGAATTATTATATCAAATTCTATTTAAAGAATAAATTGGAAAAAGAACTTTTTTTTTGAATAAGACTATTTAAGTAAAAGAAAAAAAACGATCTTTATTGTTCTATTACTATTATAGAAAATTAATATGGTTTTTTAATATAACATGTGTACAATATTATATCAAAGTCAAATAAATATCTCTCACTCTTCATATAAATATTAATACAACGGATTATTGTTCGACTTTGTTAATAATAATAGAAATATTTTCTTAATAGATGTAATAGGCGATAGTCAATTATTATGTGAATGAGAACGAAGTTTGCATTGACTAACAATATATTAGAAAACTCTCTAGTTAAAACATAAAAATCATCATAAATCTCCTCTCAGATATTAAGAGATATGATTATGTACTTATATTTTATTTCAAATCATAATTAGACAAATTTATAAGAACAGAAAGTAATTAACATGTCACTAATTAAGAATAGTAACGTTAATTAGTTTTTATTGTAGACTCCTTTTTCGTAATGATGCTCTAAAATAGCACAAGTCTGTCATTTATTGTCGAGAAGAATAACTTCTTTATACTCTTTCACCATAAATTATGACAGAAATCTCAATTTATATTAATTATAAAGGTAAGACCATTCTAATGTATTGAGATATCCAAATGAATAAAATAAAATATATTTTGGAATATTAATAAAGCTTAGGTCAAAATTTTTTTGACAGTATAGACAGAGAAAAAACATTGGAACTAATGACTTTTTAACAAATAATTGTTTCTGCTAGAGACATTTCATTATTTTATTTTTAACCTCAGTTGACAAAAAAACAAATTTCTATTAATAACAGGTAATCCAACAAATATGATTTAATAATGCTTTCAACATAATTGAATTAGTTTCCACGTATAAGGCTTTTCCTTATAGGTATTTATATTGTTTGTTCGAGCATTTTCTTTGTTTTTTAGAAACATTTACTCATTTTATTAATTCAGTTTATATATATTAAATATTGCAAATATATAATTCAATTCAATTTAGATTTCTATTATGATTAATGATCAAACTAAAACAAATGGTTTTATACTTAGTTCGGTTTCTCTTGGCTTTAATATATTTGCATGTTTAATATCATGTATAGTTTTTCTTATTATTATATATCATCTTTATTATAATCATGTCAAACGTGAAGATAAAATAACTGTTGTTCTTTGTGCTCATATATATCTAACAATTTTAATATGTTCATCAATGTTATCATCAATGAACATTCGATCAATATTGGGTGATTTGTATAACCAGTCTTTTGACTCGTCGTGGTGTATTTTCTCAGGATATTTATCTAGTGTATTGCTTGGTATGTTATACTGGAATTTTTTTAATCAGGTAATTTGAAAGAATAGAAATTAGAAAATTCATATATTATTTTTTGAATAATTCTAGGCATTTTATCGTCTAATTCGAATTGTTTATTTTCAAAATAGACGGCTTCAGTCTCTAAAATTATATATAGTTTTACCATTTATAGAATTAATAATAGTAACATGTATTCTTCTATGTATTCTCATACCTTTGAATGGTGTTACATATTTACCAAATGATTACTTTTGTTATCCAACATTCACAAATATTCCTGCTATTCTTTCAGTAGTAGTTACTGCTTACATGTGTCCATTTTGTTGTATATCATTTATTTATATCCATATAACAAGATTTATTCATCGACAAAGAAATATTCAAACATTAGTAGTCAAACAACGACAAGCTCGTGATTTACTTATTATGCGACGTATATTAATAATTGTTAGTTTATTACTTGTTCTTGGAATACCTGCAATGACTGTTATATTTATGTTTATAATAACAGGTGAAGAGAATCCATTACTTGCTCGAATTTCATTGTTTCCAGGTAGCGTATCTGGAGCAGGGTTGAGTGTAGCATTACTTTTTTGTATTCGACAACTAAAAAATATTGTTCTGAACTTACGAAGAACAAGCATAGTGACACCTGTCAATCAAACCATACGAGGTACAATACAAATGAGAACGGTTGTTGTTACTCAATAATTGTACATTGTTTACAATTTCCATAGTAAAATCAATCGTATAATTGTTTTTAATTTTTTAACATTTCTTATTATTATGTCATTATGTAAGTGAAGTTGTTCTTGTTTATGTATGAATATGAGATTACTATTTATTGTTATCGTTATAAGTATTGTTCGTAATGAAAACAATATGTTGTGATACTCAGTTTTGTATTGTTTATTTTCGTTAAATAATGTGTAAAAATAAATAAAATTGCAGTATCAGATTGAACTAACGTTTATTATAAAATGTAATGATTTTGATAGAAAAAAAGAAAATGAGGGTGATATTTTCGGTGTAAGTGAAGACGAGGGCTAAGAGAATATCCACACCCACACCCACCCTCAAGACTTTTCAGATTCGGTACATGGTTATTTAACAATTTGCTTATTCCTGATTACATATTTATTTAAGGAAAAATCGCACACACATAGAATGTAAAAACTGAAATATGATTAATTTAACCGTAAGTTCTTTCTTTTGTTTCTAATCGCCGGTACCACCACGTGCCAACTCTTTGTAATCTTCACTAAAATCTAATTCACCTACGTCATCTGTTTTATGTGAAATATGAGCATGTCGTTGTTGTTTACAGCCTCCAAGAAACGTTGATGCAAAATCTGGTCTGAAGAATAACATATTATTATCACCTCCTGATGACAAAGCCTGTTGAATATCCAAAGCTAAGATTATCAATATAACAGCCGAAATACAAATTATTTTTGCCATGATAGAGCTGTAATGGTTTGATAAGCAATATAAATGGTTGACTCAATTGAATAAGACTGTAATCATCATGTCATAAAACAAGCGTTTTTATAACAAAACTGACACTGGATTTCTCTCTTTTCTCTTGTCACTAAGTAAGCAAACAGTTGTCACTGTGTAAATATTATTTCTTATAACCTTATGAATGCCATTTCATAGTCAATACGAAACCACCACTTTCTCAATCATTTATTCATTCAGCGTCATGAAGAATATCAGATTTTTCTTTGTATTAATTCCAGTCACTGCACTACCGTCTTCTTCTATTTATAAAATCGTTTCGATCGCTCCTTCAATAAAATAAACGAAAATGAGTCATAATACATACGAAATACAAAGTGCAAGACTACTGTCGCAGAAAATTGAAGAAATAAAAATATTAAAAACAAGAATATTTGGTTAACGAGTGTCTCATAATAAACGAGCCTCTCGGTATTTTGCATCTTTCTTCAGTATTTTTTGGCATAAATAAAAAAACCTTTTTTTCATCAAAAGATTCCTTGTCAAATATTCTACAAAACGTAGATATATTTATTATTTTGAAACATTTCCATCACCCTGTGACATATGATACAATCAATTGGTCCAAGAAACACAACTTTCAAAGATAATATTTTTCGAATCTTTTGAGGATGTGAATGGGTGTGAGTGTAAGTAACACATACATCACACCCATCGATCGATTTCGTAATTTACATTGTTATATGTAGATCTTATCCTATCTTGTAGGAAATTCTCAAAAACTCTCTTCAAACACTTCCAGAGATATTTGTACAGAAAGTTCATTTAAGCACAGGGCAAAGACTTTGGCATCTCACTGTATGTCAAATTGAACAATCAAATCATTAATTCTTTTTTTTAATTAGTCTAAGAGACTGCAAGTGCAATTTTTATTATAGAATATTCATCGAATCTTTTTATGACCTTTATTTACTTTTTGTACCCGAACGGATATGACCTAACTTTATTTAACAATATTTAATAAATATAAATCATTAATCTTCAACAAGGCATTTATAATCTTAGCTTTTTTATTATTATTTTTACTATAAAAGTTCCTTTCAAAGAATAAATTTGAAAATGAACTTTTTTTAATAAAAGTATTTCAATAAAAGAAAAGAAATCTTTATTGTTTTATTACTATTATAGAAAACTAATACGTTTTTTTATAAAGCATGTGTATAATATCACATCAAATTGAAATAAATATCTCTCTCTGTCGATATATGTATATATATATTCATACAAGGGACCATTGTTAGATTTTGTTAATAATAATACAAATATTTTCCTAAATCTGTAATAGCCAAGAGTAAATTGCTGCATGAATGATTAAGAAGGTTACATTAACTGACAATATATCAAGAATCTCTTCAGTTAAAACATCAAGATCATCTTAAGTCTCATCTCAGACATTTAAAGCTATGATAATTTATTTCCAATTATATGAAAACAAATTGATATGTCACTAATAAAGAATAATAATCTGTAGAAATCTCAATTTATATTAATTTTAAAGGTAAAAATATTTTATTGTCTTGAGATACACAAATGAATAAAATAAAATATATTTAAATATTAATAAATTTTAGATTGAAATTCTTTCGACGTTATACATAAAGAAAACTATTTAAACTAATGACTTTTTAACTGATAATTGTTTCTATTTAAGATATTTCATTATCTTATTTTTAATCTATGTTGACAAAAAAAAACAAATTTTTCTTAATAAGAGATAATCCAACTAATACGATTTAATAACGTTTTAAAATAGAATGAAATTAGTTTCCATGTATAAGGCTTTTCCTGTGGACATTTATATTGTCTATCCAAGCATTTTACTTATTTTATTAATTGAATTTATATATATATATATATTACATATTCACTGTTTATTTGTCTATTACATATTTCAAATATCTAACTGAATTCAATAGAGATTTCTGTTATGATTAATGAACAAACAAAAACCAATGGTTTTATACTTAGTTCGATTTCTCTTGGCTTTAATACATTTGCATGTTTGATATCATGCATAGTTTTTATTATTATTATATATCATCTTTATTATAATCATGTAAAACGTGTAGACCAAATAACTGTTGTTCTTTGTGCTCATATTTATTTAGAAATTTTAATATATTCATCAATGTTAATATCAATGAATATTCGATCAATTCTGGGTGATTTGTACAACCAATCTTTTGATTCATCATGGTGTATTTTTTCAGGATATTTGGCTATTATATTGCTCAGTATGTTATACATGAATTTTCTTAATCAGGTAATCCAAAATAATAGAAATTAAAAAAAGTTATATTTTCTTTTTTGAATAATTCTAGGCATTTTATCGTCTTATCCGAATTGCTTATTCTCAAAATCGACGGCTTCAGTCTTTAAAATTATATGTAATGTTGCCAATTATAGAATTAATAATAGTAACACCTATTCTTCTAAGTGTTCTTATACCTGTGAATGCTGTTATATATTTACCACATGATCACTTTTGTAATACATCATCCACAAATATTCCTGGTGTTCTCTGGGCAGCATTTGTTGGTTATATGTGTCCACTTTGTTGTATATCATTTATTTATATGTATATAACAAGATTTATTCGTCAACAAGGAAATATTCAAATATTAATAATAAAGCAAAGACAATCTCGAGATTTACTTATTATTAAGCGTATTTTAATAATAGTTAATTTATTACTTATTCTTGGAATACCTGGAATGGTTCTTACATTTATGTTTATAATAACAGGTGTAGAACATCCATTACTTACTCGAATTACATATTTTCCAGTTAGCGTATCTCAAATGGGATTGAGTGTAGCATTACTTTTTTCAATTCCACAACTGAAAAATATTGTTCTAAACTTACTAACAACAAAAACAAGGACTCCTGTCAATCAAATCGTGCGAGGCACAGTACAAATGAAAACGATTACTCGTACTCAATAATTCTACATTATTTTTAATTTCAATCGTGAAATTAATCTTAATTATTTTTATGTAATTATATAAATGAAGTTATTCTTGTTTATCTATAAATATGAAACTACTATTGGTTGTTATCGTTATAAGTATTTTTCGTAGTGAACTCAATATGTTGTGATATTTATTTTTGTATTGTTTGTTTTCGTTTATTGATGTGTAGAAATAAATAAATTTTCAGTATTAATTGAACTAAGTTATAAAATGTAATGATTTTGGATACAAAAAAAGAAAAATAAATTTCTAGGCTACAATAAAAGAATAAAGATGTGGGTATGGGATGATGGAATAAGAGAGAAAAACTGACACCCACCCCCATATCTAGGATATTGATTCGCATACTATGTACCACCAACATGTGATTGACGTTCTGATATCAAAAATCTAATCATATTCATTTCTTTTAATTTCATAAGCATTCCTAAACCAGAAAAACCTGCACCAATAATATTCGCATAATATTCATCTTCATTATCACTTATTGTTCATTGGAATTTTGGGATTTTTTCGACTGAATAATAATTCAAAAAGAAACCAATGCAAAATATAATAAATAAGGTTAATTACGATCGAAATAGTTCATGTAAGATAGCTCAGTACTACGAGCATTTGTAAATTTCATTTAGACATTGACATGATCGATATACACACACTCTTTGTATAAAGAATCACGAGTAAAATGATCTAAAACAGATAAACTAAATCATGTACATAAAGAAGGATTTATGTCATATGTTTCTTTTACTGATGTATGTTATCTATTATCTAACCAATTATTCAAGCTGATGCCATGAACATGCAATAGACATTGATAAATAGAGTACCGAACATTTTTGATATTGATCAAAATTTTACAATAAATCATTAATATTTCTCTTCTTCTCATTCGTACTTATACAAGATAATAGGTTCGATTTTAGTTCCATATTCATGCCATCTTGAGGGTGTGGGTGAGAACGAAAGAGGACACTTACATCCACACCCATAGCCTAATGTTTGAGAAAAAGGCAAAGATTGTGACATAATTTAGAAAAACTCATCTTCAAAAGAGCCTATATCAGCAGTGGTTATTACAAATCGAACTTTATCAAATACGCCCTGCTACCCTTTCAAGGAATTTGTCACATTATGAAAGATGTAAAACTAATATGTATGTGAATAAATATTACATCGAACTCTGATTCTTATTGTATTATAATCAGCATAGGAATCAACTTGTTGAGATCTTCTTTTGATAAAACTATGTTGGATATCATAATTCGAAGGAAGAAGAATATTGTTGTTTCTGTTTCAAACAAGAGTAATTACACTGAAAGGAAAGTTGTTCAATCGTAGCATATGAATGAGAATTTCAATACTTAAATGAATAACCTCGATGTAAGTCACATTAGAATGTGATGAGGTATAGTTGTGAATTAATCCTGCCTTGATCTAGATCCACACTTATTCTCAAGAGAAAGAAATATTTTATTGTAATATCGATTCAGTATTCAATGGTTAGATACGATCTATACAGTATGGTGCAAAAATCTTTGCCCTCAGTATTTCATTTATTTTTCAGAATAGAACTGACGAACAGGAAAGCCAAATATATATACAGATAAGGTATGGCACAACTTGTACTTAATCCTCTCTCCCTTCGTGTCAATCAGAGCTAAACATCGTGCTTTTAAAGACTTCACCAAATTATTTCGAACAAACAACTCGGTTTTTTACTATTTCTCGTGTAGAAATCTTTCTAGTTTATCGAGATATCATGATTTCCGTTTCTCACCACAACGTTTGAGAATCGACTAAAGGTTTTTCACTCGATTACTAGCGACACAATTCGATAACCAGTCAATCATTTTGGTGTTTAAAATTATTATTTTTCTACAAGCACCAGTATCGATAGATTTTGTAATTTACATAGTTATATGTAGATCTTATCGTATCTTGTAGAAAGTTCTCGAAAATTCTCTTCAAAAACTTTCAGAGATATTCATTTATGTGCACAGGACAAAAGCTTTGGCATCTTACTGTATGTCAAGTTGAAAAAAAAACACATCATTAATTCTTTTTTTAATTAGTCTAAGTCAGTGCAAATGCAATTCATATTATTATAAATTATTCAACAAATCTTTTTATGACCTCTATTCATTTCGTGTACTCACAAAACGAGTATATTCTCTCTTTATTTAATGATTTTCAATAAATATAACTTATTAATCTTATATTTTTTATTATGAATTTTATTATAAAAATTCTCTTCAAAGAATAAATTCAAAAATAAATGTTGTTTAAACAAGGGTATTTTAATAAAAGAAAAAAAATCATGAACTTTTATATTATTCTGTTACTATTATAGAAAACTAATATGTTTTTTATATAACATGTGTAAGGTATTATACCAAACTCAAATAAATCTCTCTCTATATATATATTAATACAAGCGATCACTGTTAGATTTTGTTAATAATAATATAAATATTTTCTGACGGCTATTATAGCTAGGGGTGGGACAGTTCCATATTAGCTCCGTTCTTAGGAACTGTTGAATAGTTCTTTTGACGGGAACTGAAATGTGTCAACAGTCCTTTCATAGGAACTTCTCTGTGCCAAAACTCATTTTTTCAACACAAATTGTGACTTCTTTTGGCGAATTTTATCGGAGCTTTACAAACTAGAATATCTCTTCAAGAAATATTTCAATTGGTATTGAAAAAATCAGTTTTAACACAAAGAAGTTTCTATCGAAGAACTGTTAGAACAGTTCAGTTCCTTCTAAAAGAATTGTATTGGTAGTTCTTTTGATCAGTTTGTCCGAACATGGAACTGTGAGCTCTCCTACTCCTAGTTATACCAGATAGTAAATTGCTGCATGAGATTGAGAAGATTACATAAACTAACAATATATTAGGAAACTCTCTAATTAAAATATAAAGATCATGGTAAGTCTCATCTCAGACATTTAAAGATATGATAATTCATCTCAAATTATATGTAAAAAAATTTATACGATCAGAAAGTACTCGGCATGTCACTAATAAAGAATAATTACCTTGATAAATCTTTATTAAAGATTATTTTTCATGGTGATGCTCTAAAATAGCACAAGCATATGATTTATTGTTAAGAAAAATACTCTATTTTCTTGAGATATATAAATGACTAAAATCAAATATATATTAATATCCATAAAGTTTCGATAGAAATTATTTTCACAGTGTAGACAGAAAAAACATTAAAACTAATGAATTTTTAGCAAATAATTGTTTCTATTCAAGGCATTTCATTACTTTAATTTTAATCTATGTTGACAAAAAAACAAACTTTTATTAATAAGAGATAATCCAACTATTGCGATTTAAAAATGTTTTAAATATAATGAAATTTGTTTCCACGTATAAGGCTTTCCCTATGGACATTTACATTGTTTCTTCGAGTATTTTTATTATTGTTTAGAAAGATTTACTCATTTTAGTAATTCAGTTTATATATATATATTAGATATTCATTGTTTATCTGTTTATTAACTATTCCAAACACATAATTGAGTTCAATGCAAACTTCTATTATGATTAACGATCAAACTAAAACAAATGGCTTTATCCTTAGTTTAATTTCTCTTGGCTTTAATACATTTGCATGTTTGATATCATGCATAGTTTTTCTTATTATAATATATCATCTTTTTTATAATCATGTCAAACGTGAAGATAAAATAACTGTTGTTCTTTGTGCTCATATATATTTAACAATTTTAATGTATTCATCATTGTTAATATCAATGAATATTCGATCGATTCTGGGTGATTTGTATAATCAATCTTTTGATTCATCATGGTGTATCTTTTCAGGATATGTAGCTGCTGTATTGCTTGGTATGTTATACTTGAATTTTCTAAATCAGGTAATTCAAAAGAATAGAAATTAAAAAAAATGATATATTCTTTTTTGAATAATTTTAGGCATTTTATCGTCTTATCCGAATTGCTTATTCTCAAAGTAGACGATTTCAATCTTTAAAATTACATCTAATTTTACCAATAATAGAATTAATAATAGTAACACCTATTCTTCTAAGTGTTCTAATACCTTTGAATGGTGTTATATATTTGCCAAATGATCACTTTTGTTGTCCAAGATTCACAAATATTCCTAGTATTTTTTGGGCAGCGTTTGTTAGTTATATGTGTCCACTTTGTTGTATATCATTCATTTATATACATATAACAAGATTTATTCATCGACAAGGAAATATTCAAACATTAATAATCAAACAACGACAATCCCGAGACTTACTTATTATTCAACGTATTTTAATAATTGTTAGTTTATTACTTATTCTTGGAATACCTTCAATCGTTCTTATATTTATGTTTATAATAACAGGTGTAGAACATCCATTACTTGCTCGAATTTCATATTTTCCAGTTAGTGTGTCTCAAATGGGATTGAGTGTAGCATTACTTTTTTCAATTCCACAACTAAAAAATATTATTCTAAACTTACGAAAAACAGGCACAGTGATGCCTGTCAGTCGAGTTGTACGAGGCACAATACAAATGAGAACGATTACCGGTACTCAATAATTCTACATTATTTAAAATTTCAATAGTGAAATTAATCTTAATTATTTTTATGTGATTATGTATGTGAATTTGTTCTTGATTGTCTATGAATATGAATTTACTCTATTGTTTATTATTGTTGTAAGTATTGTTCGTAGTGAAAATAATATGTTGTGATATTTATTTTCTTTTATTAATGTGTGAAAATAAATAAAGTTGCAGTATTAATTAAACTAAGTTATAAAATGTAATGATTTTGATAGAAAATAAATGTGGAAACTTCGGATTGTATCCGAGAGTTATGTGTACTGCAAAAAGTGTATATGAAAATCATAGGAAAATATCAGTATTTTTGTAACAACTCGAGAATGCTGCATACAATTAGGCTCAACTTCGAACTCGACCGAAATCTTTATGAGTCTAAACTGTGTAGAAATTTCATCAATATCTGACTCTCCTTCCGTAAGGTATCGTGTAAACGGCTGGCCGAACACACTGATCGACTCTAGGAATGCACTCACTTTTTGAATACACTAAAAAGAGAGCACCCGCAGGGAGTAAGGGGTAGTTCTTTAGTGCGCTCAAGGATGAATTCTTTTAGGCAGATTGATCAACATCAGTCTATTGTGAACTTCACTTTTCGAGTACATAAAAATAACGTTGACCCTCAGGCCCGTAGCCAGGGGGGTGAATGGGGTGTCCGGTCACCCCCTTTGGCGAAAAAAACCTTGAAGGGGGGTACGTATGAGACTTTTATTCACGAAGCAAAAAATTATTTTCCTACTGGTATTCACCCCCTTAACAAGTCGGGCACCCCCTTTGGAAAATTCCTGGCTACGGGCCTGTTGACCCTACGGAGAACAAACGAATATCACTCAGACACACTATTAAGTTATATGGCTTTTTCATGGTTTTTCACAAGTGTGATACTAAAGACATATCAAACGCAGCATATCTACTTACTTTTATTTTACATCATTTTCAAGCTCTTGATGAGTTCTATCTACTCTAGAAAAGGTGTTATTAGTAATATGAAAAACAAACGAATACCGCACTGACACATTATTAACATATATGAGTTTTCTATAGTTTACCCACTCTGTTGTACAGAGACAATCTTGTGTGCAACCCGTTTACCCCTATAATTTAGTACTATCTTGTAGCTTGTGAAATTTTCTATTGAATGATATATAATAAATGGAATTTTATTTGACTCTGGTAGAAAAATTGCTTACGAGAACGGCATTATATTATTTTTCCCCCAAAAAAATATAGAAAAATCATAGGGAAATATCAGTATTTTTCCAATAACTCGAGAATGGCCCGGCCAATTGGGCTCATCTTCGAACTCGATCGAGATCTATATGAGACTGAATTGTGTAAAAAATTTCAGCTCAATCGGACTATTCTTTCAAACGTTATCGTGCATACGGCCGGCCGGACGGCTACACTGACCGATTCTAGTAGTGTACTCACTTTTTGAGTACACAAAAAAAGGGCATCGTCACTACTTTTGGAATGCCCTAAGTAAAATACTTTTTATTATTTTGATCGTCGAGAAATTTCATTATATCAATCCGACGAGACAATGAGTATGAACTACTACATGCTATATTTTGAGCTAAGAAGACGAGATAATGAAAAAAAGAAAAAAATTCTTAGAAGCTTAAACAATTTAAAACCAACCAATGATTATTCGTAGAACATTAAAAAGAAGATTTTTCTAGATACTAAACAAGTCTCGAGCGCGTTAGAAAAAAAACTTTTATCTTCTGTCTATCTATGTCAGTATATAAAGTGAACAGACTGCGCTTTGCAACGGAATAGACGACAGCAAGAATTTCAATTATTTTATCAAATAGCAAGCATATAAAAAATCAATATGACACTCATTATACCAGGTAAAGAATTTTATTTTTATTATTGATATAAAATAAGAATTATTGTTTTAAGTTTATTTTTTTTATAAAATAACGTCTACGATGATCTTAGTCTAGTTTTTTTTATCATAACGATAATTTTGAGGAAAAAAAATACGTCAATTAAAAAAGAATAAGAAGACGTAGCGAATAACTCAAGCATGCAAAATGAAGAGAAAGAGAAAAAGAAGACGGAAATGTCGCTTAGAATCAACATAAGACGACAGACACACATCCAGGAAGCTTATCACATGAGTTTTATTTTCTCTTGTATCAAAAATAACCTTGTCGTAAAAGAAAAAAAAGAAATTTTTTTCTGATTACATCATCATTTTTGTCACACCATTCTCTGTCGATTTTCTTACTTTTTCATTAATATTATGTATAATTTTACTGTAGAATTAAATATGAAAGACGAAGAACAACAAATGGAAAAAACAATCGAAGTGCCTAATCAAAATGAGACAGAAACATTTATATCTGAAAACGATGTCTCCAATGATGAATGGACAAGACCAAACAATCTTAATTTTCCATGGCCATTAATTGATTTCATCACGAATTCAAAGGAAGTTTTTCAAATAACATCAAATATATTCAAATATTTGTACTATTCATTCAATTTTCAACTTTTGTTCTTGTTTATAATTTGCATTATTTGCATGGGATTTGCAATTGGAGGACAAAGAAGCTACTGTATATCAAGCACCCTAGGCATCTTTTTTATTGTCCAAGGAACATGTGGCCTTTTTGTTATATTATTACATACATGTGCAATGGTTTTTCCGTAAGTAGATTATATTCTATACTAATCTGAATAGATCGTCTCTTTATCGTATTTACAAAGTTTCTGTTGATCGATCTTCACTATTTTTTGAGACAAAAGATCATTTTCTGCAAGGATTATCGAACTCGAGGAAATCAAATCTGACGTCAGTTTTCTTCGGAATTGTGTAAATGTATATGTTGGGAATAGTTTTAAATACGATTTCTACAAAAAAGAGTTGAGGAAGTGAGTTCCCAGATTAATGTTACTTGTATAATATTTCTTTAGTTGGATACCATTCATTATGGCACATTTACCATGTGATGAACGTGATTTCAAACGGTATTTAATAACTTTAGCCCAAATAATAACGGCTTTTGTTATCTTCTGGTTTTTCCTTGGTCATATTGGGCTTGTTCAATCATATATACATTCGAACGATTACTGCAACAAGACAATTCTTGTATTTAGCTACATAATGTTCCCAATTCAATATCTTGTAGGTATCTGGCTGTTACACTGCTGTATACGGAATAATTCACGAGTTTTAGCTCGACGTAACAAAGACATTCCATAACTTCATGATCAATCACTTAACAACATCAATGAATGTCTTGATATAAAGGTAATATTAATATCGAACAGCATATGATGCTTATTTGTTTTGAATCATCAAATAAAAACTCAAATTTCTCTTTTTTTGTTTGTTGTAACTAATTTCAATAGTCAGCGTTGTCAACTTTGACTCTAAAATATTGTTTGTCATTTCCAATACTCATTCTATTTTTCTCTTTAATGTTGTTATTATGTCGTCTATTCAATTAAACCTAATTATATTCTATAATAAATCGAAATAAAATGTCAATTATTCAAATATTTCAATTTGATATTTATGATCATGATCGATTAGCTTATTTTTGTTTATCAATAACAACATTGTAAACGGATTTTACTCAAATATTTTATTTTACTTTGATAATTGAGGGTGTGAGGTGTGTGTAGGTGAAGGTGCAGGTGGACGTGGGATGAAAAGAATACCCACACCCATCCTCAAAATGTCGAACAAGGTGATGCAATAGTTTTTCCTGTAGTCGGCGATGATTTGAGACCGAAAAAAGAACGTGATGCATTTTGGTATAATGTTTATGCATTGGATAAAAGTTAGAGAATCAATTAGTTTTATTTTTTCTGGTATATCTAATAAATAATTTTTATCTTTTCAAAAGATTACAATACTCGTCATGTAGATATTTTTTAATTTTCTTCTATTAGCTTTTTCTGTATTAATTAGAAATAAATAGATTGATGAACGTGGTCACGAGTTTCGTCTTTCATGTTTACTAAATTCAACGGTATGAGTGAATCATCTATTGGTACAAAATTGACATAAGAATTTTGAAAACCTCGATGTATATTTAAGTTAAAATCAAATCGATGATATCAACAATTCGAATATCTCAGAGAAAATTCAGGTTGAGTAATTATGTTTTTTATCATAGTGAATATTAGGATTTCGCTTCGTTTGTGTGAAGCATCTATAAAGGTAGGGCGAGAAATGTGTGTTTTTCTTCTTTCTGTTAATTTTTAACATTTATCAATTGACATATATTCTTTTCTATTAAACATATGCATAGATGTTTATAGAATTATTATCGATCGAGCAAACTTATATATTAGTAGTTGAATGGTAAAGATTAATGTTATTATGATCATTAAGAGTTTATCCAATAAATAGAAAAAAAATGTCTGATATCCTAAATACGCTTGAAGAATATACCTTAGAAATGAAAATAGAAATCTTGGCTATTAATAAGTTCATTCGTTCTTATCTTTTATTTGAAATAAACACAATAATTCATCTTGATCGTGAAGATAATTGTTATCCGTTATTTGTGTTCTGTAGTAAGAAGAATAGCTAATCAAAAATCTTATCTGAACTATTATTAAAGATACGGATATGACTGTATATTATATTTATTCGTAGCTGATACACATCCATCCACCTCATTTTTATCCGAAAAGGAAAATATATGTAAAATTGAATTGATTCTCATGAATTTAAATTACAAAAGTCTGTTTATGTACGAACAAGTACAAAAAAACAAATAGAAACACAAAAGAATCGAAAAAGTCTAGAGATAACTGTTAGTTATTTAACGAAATTTTTATAATTGAATTAAAAGAATCAATTTTTAATAAGAAAACGAAAAATGTTTTAATTACGATTTCTGTTGCCGTAATTGTATATCATCATCATAAATTGTTTTGCCCTACTGGATGTCCCACAAAAGACATATCTCTTTGCATACGTTGTAAACGTCTAAAACAGTTTCCAA